GTATTTTTATTTATATATCAGTTAGAAACATCGCAATATACACTTTAGGAGAAGGTGGAATTTGAAACTTGACTTTTAAAACCTAAGATAGTGTGAATAGAGTGTTAGCACTAGCTAAATATTAAGTTTTTATATGAGCGGATGGCATAACATAATGTGCACCGAGCTTACTCGAGGCAAAGTTTAGAGTTTATTAAACACACCATTGACAACAATAATGTGCACGGTCTTCTATCTCTCTCTTTTCCCGCATATTTGTTGTTCCTCGAAGTTTTACTGCGGTGTCTTAAGAAATGATATTTGTTAAGATCATCCACTTCAGTTAGTGACTACAATCTTGGTACTTTACTTAACTCCATCGGTTCCATTGTAGTCCAAACAAACACGAAATATATGTCTTTAAGGTCCATTGCTATAGATGTTGGAGTACTGTTTTTCCCTGTCCGAGAATCCCATCCGCTCTAAGTGAGCAAGAGCTAGAATCCTCATTCAGCTTGGTTATTCGAAAGACTTGTCTCTTTACCCCTTGCATGTTTGTCTTTTCAAAAGTCATATCTTTCTTCTAAATTCGCACTAGCCATATTTCATGTGCAAAGCCTCTTTAAAAAGGACCTCTCTTTAATCTTTTCCCTTATTTCTCATTGTTTATAGAAAGAGAATAAGTGTTATGCATTGAGTAATAAAGAGTGTATGCTACTGTGATTTAGGCGGTTGGTGGTTCTGAGAGTTGCGAGTCCCGCATTGTCAGCTTACACTCAAGTCTCATTCAGTACGAGTCTTGTTGCACTGCGGTCCGTTTCCTGACTTCGCTTGCGCAATTTGCTTGTCTAATTGGTTCCAACCACCCCAACCTTAATGAATGGACTATGGAGGGGTTAGTCAAGCAGTTGGGGATTTTGGTTGGTTCCTTTTTGCTTTCCCCCTTCATAGTCCATTAGAGGGTAGGGTGGTCAACTTAGAGGGAAGCCACCTCCTCTTTTGTTTCAAAGACATTTAATCACAAACAACTTACTAGCAAATTATGCTTAGCGTACAATTAACTAGTTTTCAAAAATCTCTATAATTATCTATCTATCTATATACTATATTAAAAGCACGAAAACTCTTAATATAATATACTATATCTATACTTTTAATATAGTGTAAATATATAATTATATATTTCACGCCAAGAAGAGCTTATTTTGTTTTGTTTTTCAAGTCTTGTCTTTAACGAAAGGAAGTGAAAACCAAATGTAGAGTAAAAGTAAAAGAAAAAGGCAAAAAGTTGTCTATCTAAAAACATTTGGACCAATTTACACGGAAGTCCAAATGCCAATTTACCTCGACGCAATTTGAGAAATTCTTTGGTGGACAATCTGGGAAGAGAGAAATCAGAGATGTTTTGAAGATAAGTCCAGTAACATCCAGAAGACAAAGGTGAAGTGTCTAGTTCTTTTCTATTTTTGATGTAAAGGAAAGTCTTTAGAGGATCATGAATCCATTTAAGATGTTCTAAATTCCTTGTGAGAAGACCAAGGATCATAGGTGCTTTTCTTTCTTTTTTTGGGCTCGCCTATGTAATTAGGGGTGTCTTAACAAATTTAGTGAAGACTATATATCAATATACAAATATGTTACCTTCTCAAAAAAACAAAAATTGAGAAATTCAAATTAGGGCTATCTGTTCGACCAGTCGACACTATTCTCCATTTCTTTTTGCGAGAACTCAAATCTCCAGTTCTCTTCGACGAAATTGAGTTGTAAGCTCCCTCTTTCTCCTCCTAATTCTTGTAGTTAATCATCTATTTGATTATTAACTATTTGGAGCTGATGTTAAGATTAAATTTGAGATTTTTTAACTATTATTTTGCTCATAGAGATTAGAATTAGGAGTTGTTGGTTTAGCTATTAGTTTTATTAGAGAAGGTATTCTTGATTCTTCTCTCTCACACACACTGGAAAAAAGAAAGAAGCTATTTTTGTTTTTACTTCTAAAGATTGAATAACATTATAGTTATTTTTAGCTTACACTTGGCTTTTTCGATAAGTAACTGCTCTGATTTTATTGACGTATACTAGTAAAATTGCAAAAGAATGAGTGGTTACATCCAAAAAGATTCAACTTAGTAGTGTGTAAAGAGCTAAGAAAATGTATTAGGGGACGGGGGCTTTGAAACATTGGCCCTCGCCAAGTTACACCAAAAGTTAAGCAAAGATGAAGCTCATCTGACGTTTGATTATAAAATGGATCGACTAGCAGTAGAGTCCGAGCCAGAATTTGAAGTTTATGAGTTTGAGATTTTAGTCTTGTTAAGTTACTGAGCTTTAAATTAATTATTTATACATATTCAATAGTTTTGTTTAGGCAAATACAGAGTTTGGATCAAAGTTATTGGGTTTGGCCGAAACCGTAACCAAAAAGCTCCGCCCCTGACTAGCCGGATGAATTATCCTAAGTAAATGTTTAGGATTATTGTATCCTACATAGAGGGTGGAATGATAATCTTTCTAAGAGCTTAATTGGACAAGAACTTTTAGGAAAACGGCGTCCCTCTATTTTTGCTGATGAAAGTATGATTTTTAGAATTTTTTTGATCTACTTTATTTTTTTAAAAGTTCTTTGTATATGGATATTTCATTTGGAGCATCTTGATTAATGTTTGCTTAAACTTCTTAGTTGTTCAACGAGGGTTATTTGTTGGATGCATTGTTTTGTTTAATATGATTTAGATATCTGACTTTTTGAACTTGCGTTTCAGTTTTGTATACTGAATGTGAGCTTCTGGATTAAAGATTTCAACGTCGGTCATATATCAGCCATGCCTCACAGAACTCGGCCTATGGCAGCTCTTCTACTGTTTACTGGACTTAACGTTGTTTTGGTCTCAACAATAACTCCTGTCTATGATTTCGTATGCTTCCATCCATATTGGGAAAGAAGAGTAAGACTTGTTATTTGCACCTCCACTATCAATCTGAAAGCTATACCTCTATTCAGCAATCATTGGCTTGTATTACGTCTTTACCGTTTCTTTCTTGTTTATAATCCTCTGTCCAAGTTATTGTTCGTGATGAGACATTTATTAGAATAAATGTTTTTGCTATTTGTATCTTTTTGTTAGTAGAACTCTTAGTATTCGGCCTTAAATGAATCTTACAATTATAATGAGCATGCTTTAGTGTGGCAGTTGATTATGTTACTGATTGAGAGAAGTTGATTTTAGTAAAACCAAAACTTAAGTTTAGCAGAGAGTTTCTATTAAATATTTGCTAATTTGAGGTAGACTTTAATTTTTTTGAACATTCCCTAATCACTTCAACTCAATTTCGTATTAAATGCTCTAATTTCAGTGTATTTTTTTTTTCCTAAATCTATTTCAGAGAGAGCGTCGGCGTCAGGAACGTGAAGCAGCTTTAAGAGGTTCAGCAGCTGCTTAGTGTGATATCAGGGTTGGTGATTCTGTCTAGCAGATTATTTAATTTAGCCTTGTCACAAGAGAAAACTGACTTGCTAAAAAAATATTTAAAGAATATGAAAGAAATTGGAGCCATACACGATGGTCTTTCATTCTACAAGTTTTGTTGTTTCCATGGTAAATATGGAGTCTCAATCTCAAGTTGAGCAAAGTGCTGTGCTAGGCTTACACTAGAAATGGAAGAAAGAAAAAAGAAGATATGCTTCTTCCCATAGCATACTTGCTCTTTTTGAAAAGCCTTGTGACAGAAGTTATTTATAAGCTTAGAGCATAGTGCTAGAAGGTTTTCAAAGTTGATTAGTGTTCTTTTGCTTTGTATGATGTAAGATTATTGATAACTTAATGATACTTGTTAATCTTACAAGACATCGAAGGGTTTTAATACTTTGGTGTACCCCTTTTATTTTAGTTTAATTACAACTTTATCCCCTTTTTTTTCCTCCTTTTTATGAAGATATTGTGTTGAACATGGATGCCAATCTAGCTTCTACTTTATCTTTCTCAAAAGGAAAACCAAAATAGCTATGGTTATAGATTTCTTGCCATATCAGAAAACTTGCATAAAGCTATTATAGAGAATTTTCGAAAACTAATTAATTGCATGCTAAGCATAATTTGCTTGTGATTAAATGTCTCTGAAACAGAATAGAAGGTAGGCGCCCTCTAAGTTAACCACCCGACCCATTAATTGACAATTGGG